TATTCATCCGAGATTCACACGTGCTTCAGAAGTAGGACATTTAAACAAGCGACTACTCTTTTTAGTAGACGGGTAGAAAAATAAGTAAAGAGAAGTGGAATGTCTCGTGGCTTCTTTCAGGCCGGTGTTTCACATTCGTGTGAAGAGTTCTTAAAATAGAACGTCGAGCATATGCCATCCGTTTACTGGGAACTTGACATCCCAGGTCGGGATTCCATTGTTAACGTACCGTAATGTTATGTTTAACGGCGACATTGCATGAAATTATTGCTGTAATATTTAATCTTTCCATCTACATTTTGTTAACCTGATTATTCAAATACATGCAACTGAGATTTACGTTCATTCGACGGCGACTATGAACATGACTGTCTTCAGGGATATTGAACTACCCACGTTTCACAGATGTATGCTGCCTCCATCATCAGGGAGATGACCGAGGAAAATTACAAAAATACCTCTGTTACGATAGCCCGTCTCTGGGCTGATATTTGAGTCAAAACACTTCCGAATACAAAGCAAGTGTTCTAGACACTCAGCTGATTATGCTGTACCGTCTGATCATTATCGGTATGAATTCGGCTCGTTCCTTAATTATATGGGTACTTTAACTTAATGGATAATATTTTCTTGACATACTATAGATTTTTGTCTTGTAGGCCTTACAAACCATCAACAGAGACTCCCGTGAGAGACTCTTAATGATAGATATTAGACGGATAATGGACTGGAACATTTTCCTTTGCAGCACTGGTAATGCAGGCCTGGAAATCGAGAAAGTGTGGACAACCGAGAAGTAGATGGCGCTATAATGGCCCGTTGTTCTGACAGTAATGAAATTGCGTACTTATGAGGTCTGTCACAAATACAACAAGCTTATGTGGATAAATGCATAGAATACACGCAGCGACATTAGAACTTGTTCGTTTATGATCATAAGCGTATGTGTGTGTATCAAGTACAAATTACGGTCAGTTTCAAAAATGAGTCTTGGGTTCGAAACTCGTCTTATCGTTGATTCGTTCCTGATTTTTACTTTTGTTAAGCATTTCTTTTTGTGACGGTTTCACAACTGTATTCCTGTTTCAGACTAAATGTCTTCTTTACAGCACACAAGTTCGAAATATTTTTCAAGAAATATATTGTCAAATTTTAATGCAACTTTGCTAATAACCCCTCATTAGTCAACCACAATTCAGTTCTGTTTTAAAGATGATGTCTTCTGGGATGTTGCGTCTTGTAATCTACTTGAAATTTACAGAAGTTTCAGGGGTATTTAATGATCGCTATTGATGCAAGGAGCAGGTAACATCTCAGAAAACAGCCATCCTTATACTAGCCGCAAGAACCTGAATTTTCATAGGACTTTCTTTTGTTTTCAGTGTGAATATTCTATACGCTTTTTTAAAATTATATGTATGCTATGCACCAAAATAAAATCTAGATGTTCCTGTTTCCACTCCCCACTCCATGAAAGCTTGTATAGGGGTCTAGATAAAGCTCCACTTAATCGTAACCTCGATTGCTTTGGATATGACACTGTGTGAGTCCCAGACTTCCTCTGGATGAAGTCGTCTGGATGGTGAAGAGACAAATCTCTGCACCTTCTGGAAATTAAACCCGGTCATCTAGCCGGTAACAGGCCATTTTACTGACTGAGCTACATCCCTTAAAATATATAATAAAATACAGGTCAATACACAAAACTTTATTTGATGTTAAAATTTAAAATTTAAATGTTAATATTTAAAATTTTAAATTTGCGCTATTCATCACTATAATGATGTTACATTAGAGCGCTTTGATTCATTTCACAACATGTTTCGATGTAATACATCATCTTCAGGTGTTGTTTTTTAAAAACTATTTTATATTATAATGCATGCCTTTCAATAATTCATTATTGTAAGATGTGTTCCGTTGGTCTTCTCATTTTATGCATCTTATGATTGTTTTGAATTATTCTGTAAATAAATGTGATAAAATTTGGGAGTTATTCATTTTATATGCAAATAAGTTTGGAATATGAACAATATTGTAACAGTACGAACTCAATAACATACCATAAGTCGTGTTGTGTGGTCAACCCGAGCAGACGTGATACACCACACAACACGACTTATGGTATGTTATTGAGTTCGTACTGTTACAATATTGTTCATATTCCAAACTTATTTGCATATAAAATGAATAACTCCCAAATTTTATCACATTTATTTACAGAATAATTCAAAACAATCATAAGATGCATAAAATGAGAAGACCAACGGAACACATCTTACAATAATGAATTATTGAAAGGCATGCATTATAATATAAAATAGTTTTTAAAAAACAACACCTGAAGATGATGTATTACATCGAAACATGTTGTGAAATGAATCAAAGCGCTCTAATGTAACATCATTATAGTGATGAATAGCGCAAATTTAAAATTTTAAATATTAACATTTAAATTTTAAATTTTAACATCAAATAAAGTTTTGTGTATTGACCTGTATTTTATTATATATTTTAATCAAAAACACAAACATGACGCATGTAAACCTTAAGCTACATCCCTGTTTACAAGAACAATTAATGCGACAGTAATGGAAAATTCAAGACATTCGGCTATATACAGTTAGATAAAAATACAAATTCTGGAGTACCCGAAAATGTGGCTTCTGTGATGTAGTCGAAGAAATTACGTATTAAATTGAAAGTTGTTGTGGTGTAATAAAATGAAGACATGGTATGTGATTAAATGTGGCATGAAATATTAAATAAAATAGCAAAAAAAGATTGAAGGGCGAAGGTAAGCTTCAAATAGGACTTTGAAGCCAGAGGAGCCAATGGATTGTATGTATGAGATTTGAGGTTCTCACGGCGACGAAGTTGTGGAGGTTGTTCTTCTGGTTTGTGACGCCTTGTGGAATGAAGCCTTGAAGAATGAGACAATATGTTTCTCAGAAACCTTGGTATCTACCTACGAATACCCACTGCGTCACTATCCAGAAGAATTTCTTCAGATAAATTGTCTAATCACGTGAAAAATGATTAATGGGTCATTTCGTTTGAATTTTTGTTGGTGTGCTTCTGTTCATATTGTCAAGAATAGAAACAGTTGCTGACAGATTGGTCTAATTTTATATAACATGGAAGGACACTTATTTCAAAAGTTCATTCTCATTTATTAGGGCATTTTTTGTACTCTTTAAGCCACATGTTGAGGTTTGTGGCTCCACAAAGAAGCTAAGCTATTAGGCCGAAGTAATTTGTCCGCGTGCAATGTGAAATCCAGGAGACACGAAGTACTAATCGATTAGTCACGGGAGTCGAAGGATCCGGTCATTTCCACGTGTTCAGTGTAAATCGACACTTCACGATTGACGATTGTCCTTGCCGAATGACGTCATCAGATGACTGACTTCGTCTCTGTTAGCTTCGAAATGCAATTACGATATCTTGCTCCGAGGTCTTTAAACAACTAACACCATGGCTCAGGACGATTTTTGAACATCTAGTAGTTTCTCAGCCGGGCGTTTATTGACTTCCGGCTTCATTACCGCCATCAGAACGTACCGTCATCACCGAGCCATTAATTTTAGCCCACATCCTTACACCCGAAATCCATATTAATGTAGTTTCATGAACGCTTAGTTCTTCCAATTGGTGTCTCCCTTTAGGTGTTTAGATTAAAATTTTATAACCATTTCTTGTCTCCCCTATGAATTCTACAGGTCTCGTCCGTTGCATATTACTTTATTTATTGATGGTAATAATTATGGATGGGCTAAAGAATATAATTATGAAGCTTCTGATCCATATGGGCCTAGATGTAAGCCAATGTTTTGTCCGTCCGTTCAACCCTCTTTTATCAAAACATCGCGTCGTAGAATAAATTGTAACACTAAATATATTTTCCTTGCTGAGAGACCTCGGGAAAAGTACTGGCTTTTCTTTTTCGAAAATTCGGCCTGGTGGTGTCGTGGAAAGAACTCAGTTTCAAAAATTTGAAGACTTGCCAGGTACGCATTTTTTTTCCCGTTCTGCTATTGCTTTCTCTTCCTTATTTTCAAGTAAATATTGTCTTCAGAACTTTATTTTCAAACATTGTCAATATATCAAAGTATCCCGGTCTAATTTCTTTCCCAGAGTGAGAGAACAAATTTTAACCCATAAAAACAAGGATCAAAATTATAGTTCCACGAATTTAAATTTTAGGTTTTCAAATAGGACACAGACTGAAGAGTGTGTATAATCTGAATGACGACGTACATTTCAAGATTTACCCTTTAGTGTTAGAACGTAAAACAACAACATGGAAACCGTGCGAAATTATCATTTACATTTCAGTTAGACAGCGAAATCTAATGCACCATTTTAGTTAGGATTATGTAATTTTGAATTATGATGGATTATGCACGTACTAATAAATTGGGTGTGAAATATTGTGTATTAGACCCACCATTAATTACAAACATGGGAAAGGTGCTAGCCTTTGAGAATCACAAGACAGTATATGTGTTGAAATAATAATTTATTCCCAAAAATAAAAGTGTTATTAACGGTAATAATTATGACAATCTGTAACGTGAGGTTTCATGTTCTCGTGGTGGTGAGTGTGAAAATGTCTGTCATCTGGGATGTAGCGTCGAGCAGTTTCGTAGAATTTAGCCGTCATTTTAGGGGTACTTACTGCATCCTTCATCAGAAAATAATTTTTTAATCTGTGACATGTTTACAACTACAAGCAAAATAAAATTCTGGTTCGTGTAGGATTAGGTCCACGACCATCTACTCACAATCCCAACATCGCATTTTACATGTTGTCTTGTGATAGTAGGTGCCTGACGATGGTTGGGTCCTCCAAAAAGGAGTACTCCCTCTGTCTTAGTCAGCATTTTGAAAGTCTTTTACATATAAATTATGCCTTGGCACAAACCAGGACGTAGCTTCAAAATAATAATTATAAGAACTGAATTACACTTCTGATTTAAGTTGCTTTTATTTTTCAGGTTATTTCGCGTCGTTCACAGACGTTTTGCTGAAGTGTCTACTTTCTGTGATTGGTAAGTACTAAGCATCTCATTATTTTACGGTCTTTATTTACGTAAGGTCTGTGTTACAGTGAATTTTGATCCCTTGATTTAAATCTGGATGCAGTATTGCGTTGTTTATTTATCGTACGTCGTTAATTGTTCAATTGCTACACTTCAGAAATCTAACTCCTCGTCATCATGCCAATGAAAAGTTTTGTATCAGAAATAAATGTATTATTTTATTAAAACGGATCATAATCTGTATAAATGCATTTTGTGTTATATCTTATATATAATTTAAATTACCGGACGTGCGCATATTTATTTCTTCCCCCAGATTATAATTCCTTCTCTACATAAATTTTAAACTTTAAGTGTAAGTTGTAAAACATTTATTGATCGCTGTCTACATACAATAAATAAATGTCACTGTTTTAAGCATTTTCGGAAGCGTTTTCTCGTTTCACGGCGATTCTTACCTGAATTTTCCCCCCATTTTCTCAGGAAACCTGACACCGCGTAGTGGAAACGTTTTCTGATATTTCCGAGGGATATACTGCCTCTATGTTAAAGGTAGAAGTTATGAGAACGGATGAAATATAACCCACTTTGTAAAAGAACTCTGTCTTTTATGCTGTCATGATCTCATAATCATCAGTTTCTTTGATGATTCATTAAGTTTATAAAGGAAGCCGTCTCTGATCAATTCTCATTACTTCTACCCTGCAGACAGAAGAAGTACGTTTCTCTGAAAAAATAGAACGTTTCGACAAAATTTGGCATCAGAACCCAGTATAAAACACCCAAAATTGTATAATTGTTGTCGCGACAAAAATATTGTGAAGTAATTTAAAAAAAAATAATGTCTGTTACTGTCTGTTACTTCCTTGGTACTAGCCTCTTCATTCGTATCAGCAGATGGTATCAGACAAGTACACACCTCAGACGCTGTGATTTTTAAAATTCGAATTATTGTCGTTATTATTGATTTTATTAAATTACAAAGTACGAGATTAATTTAGTCTCCACTGGTCTACACTGGCGTTAAAACCAGATTTAATTATAAGTAATTATAAAGATTCAAGGTTTAGACGGGAGCTGTTTCATATTTGCACAGACAGCACACTGCTGTCATAAGACTGCGTTTTCCTTTTTTTAAATAAAAAGGATAATACATTTAAGTACTTGTAAACGGGATTTAACGTGTCAAAACTGTACTAAGCTAGGCGTTATTGCTTTCGCACTTTGTGAAGTCTTGTTAAATGTATGGGAAGGCATTTGTATTCTGTATGTTTCGCTGGTTAAGAAACACTAAGTTAATACACATTTTTTGCTAATTTCCAGTTTTAACTTCGAATTTTTTTAAATTAATATCAGCTGTTTGTAATTATTATTTAATCATAGATCAACACTCATTTATCAGCCCTCCAAAGATATGTACGATAGCCATGACCAAACAGCATGTTATCATACCCTTGACCTTAAGGTAAGGGCTTCTCGGAGCCGACATTTGACCGGTCTCGGAGTAAATATAGTGTATCTGCCCTATATTCTTTATGACTGTTTCTGTTCCAAGACTTCGTATACATTTCGAGAATACAATATTTCCAGTATTATTCTCAAAAGTTCTTATGTTACACGTAATACTTCTATTCTATTTTCATCAAGTTACGCCCGAACGGCGTCTTTGAATTGTACTTGTGATAAAATTTGTTCTTTAATTTAAATTTAATTTTTAGATGTCATTGTATTCTAAAACAACAAAGCAATCCACCTTCATAATGTAAATCGTCTGGCTTGTAAGGGACAATATTGTTTCGTCAAATGTTTTATTAAATTCGAAACACGCGTAGACGAAATTTACGGGATTAGAAAAGAAAACATTTTGAATGTTATCTTCGGCCGTCCACTCGTCTTCATATCGCGGTGCTAATATTGATGAGGCATCAAATTCATTACTGTTCAGAAATTTCTCTTCACAGTACATTTGGTTAATTTCTCCACCTAAACCATCAGAGGATAAAATGTCACTTGTGCGGGTTGTGTCTATTCACAGTGGTAGATAGATGATGTAATGAAGCAATCACCTGAATCTATTGTGAGTGTACGAGAGTGTACTTGGAGGGGCGTTCGCTATATGTCGCTCCTACGGTATCGGAAGCTTGGAGGGGGTACAGAAGCATTGCACATACATATAACAGAAAAAGTAGGGGTTAAATATTGATGGTGGCAGCGGGGAGGGGGCGGAGGGGGGGTAGTTGCAGTTTGCGTGAGACTCGCATTCGGGTGTGCAGGGGGAAGTGGGATGCAGAAATTGCACGAGTGCATATAGGGAGTTTGGGGAGCGGGGTGGAAGGGGGTGAAAATGTATATGTATATTTTTTTATACCTTACTCATCGAAAATGCAGATATAGGCTTTGTACATATATACAAAACAATTTCTCCCACTACCCTGGTAATTTCCCCTCTTTTAACCTTCTCTCTTCTTCAACCCCTATGATGTTATTGTCCCCCCTCCCCTACTTTCTCTTCATTACGATGCATTTCAAATATATTCTGACGAAGTGTCTTAAGATGTAACAAGACGGTAAAGAGCTTTGACCTAATTTTGCTATTCCATGTTTTTTTAAAGGTAGGGCAGTAGAAGGACCTTGAGAGGATCTTTATGTTTCAGAAGTACGCTTGACTCAGTTTCCTAGAACATAAGAGAATCCGCAGTTATAGAAGGATATGGAATGAAAATTGTGTAATCTATTTTTAAAATGTATCAGTAGAAACCTTCAGTAATATGACTATTATTGTTGTGTTGTTTGCAGTTGAATTTTGTTTTAACTTAATGGTGTTACACAAGATTTGTATCTCTGAATGTTCATTAGCTTCGTTTTGTTTATTTATAGGTTATTTAAGGATTTTGTCAGTATCTCAGATTATATAGTGTCGAATGAGAAAAACTATTAGTGAATAATTAATTTGAAAATATTTGGAAGGAAACGGTCTAAGCCTAATTCAAGGCATGAATTTGTTTTATATTCCCAAATAACATCGTTTGATAAAAGGCTTCTTGTCGTTTTGGCTTCCAGGAAAATAATATTTTGTATTGTTTCTGCTGTACCATATTATGAACCTCCGTAGCATGTTGGAAGTATTTATGAATTCTGAGCACGTTTCTCTATAAACTGTTTCTAAGTTGGTATTTTATAATTGATATTGTTATAATTTACGACAGTGGCTTGTTATAATGTTTCGTGTATTAAATGTGGATTTAAATTTATTAAATCCCATCGTAATTTATAGTTGTGTGTGTGTCAGAAATGTAATTGCATTCCTCAAGGATTTAGACGCGTTTTTCCATGCAGAGGTCGTGATTCAGTATAAAATCCCGCTGGAATACGAAGCAAATGCGAAATGTTATTGACACAGGTAGTACCGAATTGCAGCGGAGGAGGGAAAAAAACATTGCCATAGCATGCATCTCGGGTGGGCCGTTCGATTGCAGTGTTGACAATCATTTTGTATGTGATATATAGGTTGCTTGCTGTTCTGAATTGCATATACGGGGTTGTATAGTGCGCGCGGGGGTGGTAAGGGGATAGGGGTGGTACCAGGGTGGTTGGAGAGGAAGGGAGGTTACGTTATATTTTCGTTCAGTTTTACCTACTCACTCCTAAACCACCCCCTTCTGGCACCCTTTTCCACATATACTAAACCCTTTGCAACTCCCCCCTCCACTTCTGCAACCTCCCCCTCCCCCTACCCCTCACACGCACACACATGCACGTTGCTTGTCAGAAAGAGACCACAGACTCACATTGTAGGAAGGATGTGATGGTTTAGATTGACCAATACTATATCTACGTTTGTGTGTGTGTGTGTGTGTGTGTGTGTCTCTCATATTGCTCTGATGATGCTGATGATGATAATGATCACATGGCTGTGAGAAAAGAGAGGGGTAGGAGTGCAGCCAGGGCAGTGGAAGTGCAGTTGCATAGCAATCTGGTGGCTTTGCCCCTCTCGGTCACTGGTAGGCTCGTATCCTGCTGCCAGTCCTCAGTAGCGTCATGTGGATTTAGGTGGCCGGTGCTAGAATAGGCAGGGCAGTCAGGTTGGAAGACACCAGTAATTTTTTCTTTACACTTCTTTCTAGTGGCAGTTTGTGGCGTGCAGTTGGTAGCGCTTGTTTTTTTAAACGCATGGCTTTTTTGTTTAATATATAGCTTGCATGCTTTTTTTTGTTTGTTTCGATTTTACGGAGTTTATTTATTCAAGTATAATTAATATCTTAAACTTTTAATAAAATTTAATTTTAATTTGTAATAGACCTACGTCTTTAATACTAATTTATTTGTTTAATATATTAAATTATGTTTTATGGTAAAATATTTCGTAATTCAATGAAACTTGAAGTGTTATTTGTGATCATGAAATGTCTTTTTAACTGGTTTGTGAAACTAAAATTAAATTTTATCTCATGTTACAGTGACTCTTTTTGATGAAATGGCTAGTGCAGAAACTAATTTGCTTAAAGTGTGACTTTATACCTTCCGCACAAAAATAAATATGACAGGAAACAAAAAAATTAAACCAATATTCACGTTCAAAAAAACTAGTCATAATTAAGAAATTCATCTGAAATTTCAAGAAAAATAATCAGTAAAGTGGCTATTGTCTAAAACCAGGATAAACAGTTACAAAGAAGAATTTCAAAGTGGTACAACAAACTTGACTCTTAACTCGTGTGTTTTACATCATCTACACATGGAATATTACATCTGTGGCAATTTTCGAATTATGATCAAAGGCTTTGCAGGGAAAAACATTCCTCATCTTTACATTATTTAAGAAAATATCAGAACGTGGTAATAATTTCTGTGGATTACTTTGACAGCAACCAAAAGTGACAGTTATCAGTGACAGTGGAGAAAGGTCCGGATAACGGATTAGTGATTTACAACAGTGCAGAGATTTCTAATAATGACAGGACCGGGACAAATCACGGCTCAATTAAGATACTGGACTTAGAAAATCCTACCATCGTTTTCCCGAACATTTAACCTCGTCCTCTGGCCTACCACAGTAACCCACATGGTTCCAGTTAACTTTTAAAGGCACCCGATAAAACAAGTACACACAGCTACGCTACTCAACCCTTGACAAGACTCTATGACCCTATAGTACACTTCACTATACCTTCTTAGTCAGAAAACAGCCCCTTTCAAACTTGGCCTACAGCTAACCCCTTTTTTATAAAAAATCAGGAAGCCATTTTATTTTAGTTTGACCTTACAGAATTTTTTTTCAAAAACGAAACATCAACAATATCAGCAATTTTTATTATCCATTTAATCCATCCTAAGTTGGTGACCTGATATATTAATACGTTTCTGTTCTTTGACCAAACCTGGATTTGTTATCCCATCCAAAATATCAATATTTCGTTATAATTAATCCCAAAAAAACAAAAGTACACTTGTGATCAACCATTTTGTCTGAAATTTTGTGATAAAAGAATTCCAAACTTGCTGTAGGTGCTAGTGACTATCGGTTAGTCCTGATCAACCGTCCCGAAAATTCAACCTCAAAGTTCCTATTATTTAATAATCACTCAGATCCTGGCTATTTGTAATAAACTTAGAACTATACTGTGCCTATACACCAGGTATCAAAGTTCCAGTCACGGCCAATAATTAATTGTGAATTAACCTCAAGAAATAACGGCTCTACTACAGTTATCCAAGCTAGGTGGAATACCTCAAGACAAAACTCGGATCTGCATTCTTCCTACGATACAGGTATGTTTTAAAATGTGATGACTCTTTCAAAATGAAGCACTAACTGTTATCTCGAATTGACAAGTTTGGTCCAAAAAGGATGTTCCATTTTTATAGTACCTTAACGCCAATCAAATAATAATGCGATTAAATGTCTATAAAATATGTACGTATAGATTCTGTGTGGTTTACTTGACTCGCGTTAATATTGTTCCAGTCTTCATTTTATGCTTGGCAACAGAAATAGTTTCTTCACACAAACTTATGCGCCCTTTTTTAACCAATCTTGTCAAATCCTCACTTTTATGCTTGGCAACAAAAATAGTTTCTTCACACAATCTTATGCGCCCTTTTTTTTAACCAATCTTGTCAAATCCTCACAATAGTGTCTTAAGAGAAAAATTTCGGAATGATGCCAACTAGAACAGCTCTATTCGCTGGTAATCTGACTTGTACTTAAGTAGTATATAATGTATTTTATTCATTCTAAAATTTAAATACCATGGAGTACGTGTTTTAAAAGTGGGGGGAGGGGTGGCAATTAGATGAACTGAATGCTGTGTCAAAGCTTTAGTTTCTTATAAAGCGAGCTGTTAGTGCATGACAACTAGAATTAGTGCACTGAGAATATATCGAGGGCTTCATGCCAGAAGAGCGTGTCAGCATATTTGCATAATCGGAGATATTTGGTCTAACATCATAAAATAGTGGGATGTATTGCAAGAAGGGTTTGTAAGATTTGATTTTTTTCACAGCTGTGAGTATGAAGATTTCTGTCTTCTGGGTTGTTGCGATTCATAGCCCTGATGATGGAGGCAGTATGACCTCTGAAACGTTCGTTAACATCGGCCAGACTACACAGCGCAACAACCCAGAAGACAGAAATCTTCAACAAGGGTTTATTACTGATGCTAGTTTACACACAGATACATTTACATTTGGGTGTTTGAACACTAATAATGCAGATTTGTCAAACCAAATTAAGTTAAGAATTGTCTCTTGTAAATCTGCAATTTTTTATGCGTCGTTCCGGCGTGATGCTTTCCATGTGGAAACAAGCACGCAACTGTAGCATAGGAGAATGAAAGCAAATTATTGGTGTCAGTATAACTTCCCTGACTTAGGTACATCTTCCTACAAAGAATACTCAAGAGGAACACGGATATTTGCAGCACAACTTAGTTATATAAATTTAAAACTTTTTGGCTCTCTCCACTAACGAGTTATATGAGACATTCCCTAAATTCTGTGGTAGACATACAAATTACATTCTTGACGAAAATTGCAGTCGTCTGGGATGTTGCGTCGTGTAGTCTGGTAGAAGGTTACTGATGTTTCAGAGGTGCTTGTTGGCTCCATCATCAGGGCTTCTGTCAGCGCCTTGATGATTGAGGCATCCGAAACGTCGGCAAGTTACAAGGCATCTTTATACACGCTGTCGTGTGAACCTGAAATGAGACAGACATTCTCGACGTTTTGAAAGTCGGGCACAGTTTAAATTTAAATTATTTTTTGTCATATAAACAACTTGTTTTGCTATACGTAGACCACCTTCAATCAGAGATTATCCAAAGTCAGGTCACAGATAAAGCCCCTACATTAGACCGAAGATATTATAATGAGCTGCTTGGTCATGGCTATCGTATATCTCGTGGGGCGGTGATAGATTTGTATGGAGCAACGGTGAAATGATGATTAGCGGGAGAAAACTGATTACGTCGGTCAAAAGTGTGCTTCAGAGTCACTTAGTCCACGACACGAGATTAAACCCGAGTCTGCGCGGTAAGAAATCTGTCTGTCTACTTAAGTCACAGCCTGTTAATTTTTTTTCCATTTCTTTCGGTAACAGCTAGGGTCAAAGGTGATAATAATCTTGACAGACTCATCACCTGTAACATGACAACTGATCATTTAACCTACCAGGAACAACATGTATGCAATATGTGTTCTTAGGTCTGCGTGTAGCTTCATTTAATTCTCATAATGAAGATCGGAACATTTTCTAATTATTATCTACTTACATTTTCAACAGTGATATGGCTCTTTTTAAAGATAATGAATGAGTTTTTAAATTTTATGTAGTTGAGGTTTGTCCTGTAAGGGTTTGTATCTGAAGGTAGTTTCAATGAAAGAAAAATCTCCTTTTTATCAACCCATTGAAGTCCAGTCTCGCGTAATTAATTTTTAAAAAATTAGTCCGTACCTAAAAGTAAACACCACACTTCACCATTACAAAGATCAACTTTTTGATGCTATTTAAGAAAATAATTCCGTATTAAACCAAGAAACATATAAAACCCATAAATAGAAAATTAGGAGTTAGTGATTGTTAAAGCAGCTGTTATATCTGGTCTATATAGTTACCATTCGGCTTTAAAGAGTTATCTGCCGCGTTAAATTTGATTTAAAACGAAAGTTTCGAAGACCTGCTGTGTCTCTATCATGAGGGTAGAGTCGACGCTGTTGACGAAGACAGCAGCTTTTCGAAACGTGAGTTCTTAGGAATGCTTCTGTTGGACTTAGGCGGGAGGGGCTACAGAAGAGATATGATACTTTAGCCGTTTTCTCCCTCAATTCGTCCCCCGAACATGTGCGATGTGGTATAATGCGTGTAACAAAGTATATGAAATTTCAAGACATATGGATTGAAATTATTCGCTAGAATAAGATTCAACATTACTGTCTTCTGGGACGTTGAAACTTATAGTCTGGTAGACATTTAGCGACGTTTTAGAGGTATTTTTGCTTCCATAATCAGGGCTACATGGCACAACATCCCAGAAGACATGAGTCTTTATATTGACCGCTTTGGGAACCTCCGATCTCACTAAATGACTTACAATTAATCAATTGGTACAGGGCTTTTGTCAATTCAACAGTTGTGTATGTTCCATGAATTCAGATTACTATATTTCTCCTCCAAATTTTACGATTATTTTTAAATTATACACTATATATTTAGGCTGATGGATGTGAATTATCCGGGGGCTCCGCCCCGCGTGTTATCTGGCTGGGCCACTATTTGCTCTGTTTGTACATGAACGCTGACAAAAATATTTCTCACATGTTTATATGCCTGGATTTGTTCTTTGACAAGACATCAGGAAGTTTATATTCACAAGTTCTGTATGATATTGTGATATTAAATTTAGCTAATGGATGTACTTAACGGAAAACGGTATAGAATTGAATAAGGAATTGCAACAGTAAGTTGAGACATGAAGGGATTATGAAGGATGGTATAATGGGGTAAATTAAAATGTGTTTTTTCTACAGTTTCTGTGCGAACAGATTTTTATTCTTTAAAACGCAAATTGTCTAGTGATCGTCGGATTTTGTGGATGAAACGGCCTACACTTTACATAAATCTGGTGTTTTGCTACTTCGAAAATTACCGGAAAACCTGCATTTACCAGTAGTGACCTAACGTATCTTTTAAATTTATTTTTATAACAAAAAATCACGGGGTACTGCAAAATAGACAATTACACTAAGTTTCTGGAAGAAAATTTCACGCAATAATTTTTGCTATCAATCCATACGAATTATCATTACGATATGTCCGTTGTCACCAGATTGTATTGCATCACACGCAGAAATTTTAAGTTTATTTAGGTACATTTGCTGGTTTAAGGGAACCCCCACTCTGTGCAAGAAATACTCCAGGCAACAAGAAAACTGAGTTTTATGCCAAAATGCAGTTACAAGAGGACGATTTGGTAATCAAGGAAGTAGAGTGCATATTATTGACTCATTGAATTTATGGACGCCTGTCTCTGTTGAGAACACTTTTCAGAATAGCCTGCTCCCACTGCGGACCTGTGTTACTTACTCAAATTCAGTGTTAGCAATAGACTAGAATAGGACTAGAGTAGCCGAGAAATAGGTCTACAGTAATATACCAACATAACTTTTGCTTTTAAATGTGGACCTAAGAGGGATGAAGCGACACGATGACTTCAGTTAAATTTGATTTTTAATACGCCTCTGTTTTATGAAATTCTATAACTTCTGTTGACGCTGTCAAATTCGAGCCCATCTTTGTAATAAACACGCTAATATTTAGTGTATTTTAAATGCTTACACTTTACATATTAATGATTACTTTAGTTCAGAATGTAACTTGTTTGAAACTGCCAGACTTCGTTTTTTTACTCGTAATATCAGAGATTTTAAAATTTTTGCTGTTATTTGCTGTCATAAATTGTCCTGCTAGGTGGCTTACCAACTGAATGAAGTGCTACTTACAATAATATCTCACTTAAAATGTGTGCAATTCCCAACGTGGTTGTCGTTTATACTGCCACACACGAGTGTTTGCCTGCAGAGCCATCTAAATACTTTTAAATGACCGTATTCAAATAGTTTTATCTTTACTTTGGCATTTCATATGTATTACTATTATTGGTCGTAAAAGTTAGTAAGAAGTTTACCAGCGACGATGCACTGATAATGGAGGCAGCAAGGACCTCTGAAAGGTTGATCAACTTCTACCCGACTACACGGCTCTATAGCCCAGAAGGCAGCCATATTCGTACTAGCCGCCGTGAGAACATTAAATCCTAGCTACTAATTTGAAATATAAATTAAGAGTTTGCGGCTTCCAATATGTGTAAACAGTCGAGACCTTTCTGTTTTCAATTTTTCTACCATAAATAATACAAAAATAACAGTTGCGCGAACTTCTGATATAGGAGCAATACTTAATAAGGACCCTGAATTTATGCGTTGTGATGGAAAACGTGGGACGTTTATAAGGGAATAATTTTATAAATTGTTAAAGTAGAAACTAGTGAAGTGTTACGTATGGAGTGTCGCGCTGTATGGAGCAGAGACTTGGACACTCAGGAAGAAGGAACAGAAATAACTGGAGAGTTTCGAAATGTGGTGTTGGAGAAGAATAGAGAAGATCAGGTGGACGGATCGAGTGACCAACGAAGAAGTATTGAGGAGAGTCAACGAGCAAAGAAACATTCTGCAGGCGATTACACGAAGGAAAGCTAACTGGCTGGGACATATTA